ACCTCGAAAAAGCATTTGACACGGTCAGTCAAGAACTATTATTTAAAAACAATAAGAAATATTGGCTTGAAGGGAACAATTCATAAAATATTCAAATCGTACCTTACAGACAGATAATAAGTGGTCGAGATTGGTAGTACTGAGAGAAATACCAAAATTGTGACATACGGCATGCCTCACGGCTCAATTTTGGCCCCACTTCTTTTTTTACTGTGCATAAACAATGTCCACCAAATTGGTCTAGAAGTAGTTTTACTTTGGCCACTCCATTGATACTATCATACACGAAGCACAAAATGATTTGGACTTATTATGTGTGTATAAATATTTAAAAAAAAACTAATTACGTGATATTTGCCTCAAAAACTTAAAGAATAAAATAGATCAAGAAAAGTATTTAGGACTAATCTTACCAAGGTGACTTGGCTTCCACATATTTTAAAGAAAGAAAAGAAAGTATTACGAGGTTGTTTGGATTGTATTGAAGGAGATGTTCGGTTGTGTTTAATTCATCGATAAAATCGCATAATAATTACTTACTACATAGAAGTAGGGACACTGCTTGGAAAAGAAACAAATTATTAAAAATATTCGATTTTATTAAAGAACATGGCTACTTTTAAAATACTACTCAAAAAATTTACTTAGTCGGGTCACAAGTTCTGTTAAAACCTAATCATTTAAAATTTTTGAATACTGGCGGGATGAACTTAACCAATTTTAAAAATATAACGATTGCGCTTGCCCAGAATAAAAAAGGCATTACTTTTCATTCATTTTCAAATATGGAGTGGTCGAAGAAAGAAGATAGAGTAGCGGTTATCGCGTTGTACCGTTGTGATTACCCGCCAAAAGAGAGTTTCAGTATTCTACAAAAAATTAAAATAACCCTACGATTTGTTTACAACAATTCACTGAAGTGTCAAGCTTCGAAGATCGTAAGAAGACCGGCCGATCTCGTACAGTTAGGACACCCGCGATCATCAAAGCAGTGAAGGCGCGAATCCACCAACGAAATCCTGTTCGTAAACAAAAAATCTCAGCTCTTCAGATGGGCCTAAGCATAACGAAGAAAGTTATAATAAACTAAATGATAAGGTGTATGCCCACAGCAGCAACAGCAATATTCCAACAGGATTCTGCATCAGTTCATAGAGCATGAACCACGCAAAACTGGTTGACCGCGTATATAATTATCAAAAAGTGTATCATTAATTCTTAAGAGAAGATAAGATCTTCTTCAGTGAATCGTGTGATAGTGCGATAAACTAATCTCTGTTAGCTCGCGAGGCCACGCGTAATATGACACTCCCGTTCGCTCGCAACCATAATGGCAAGAAAATTTGCAAATTAGCAAATTTTTTGCTATATTGCAAATTTTGCTATATTTTCACTTTGAGACAATATTTATGGATAAAACTTACAGGAATTCTTGTTGAATGTATAAACTATTGAATAAAATTATTTTGGTTGCTAGAAATTATAATAAAATTCATAAATTACCCTTTATAGCATGGTAGTAGTATATACTTCACTTTTAGTGCCAAAATTACTACTAATTTGAATTCTACACTTTTGTTTTTGGAGAAATTTATATGAAAATGTTTGGAAATATGTATATTTTTATGTTTTATGTGTTTCTATTCGTTACTCATACCAAAATATTAAAATATTAAAAAATTAAAAATAATAATAAGAATAATATTTATCTGTATGACATTTCGAACAATATTTCAAAAATATTTTTGTGTGAATTTAAAATAAATACAACGTCAAGTTATTTGAAATATGTAAGAAAACTATTTTTACTAACATTTTAAACTAAAAATAAATGAGAATTGGAAAAATAACACATTTATGACCCAACCGCCAAAATGGGCGTTTCGTATTTCGAAGTACTTTTGGTAATTTACTTTTCACTTTTTATACCACAAATTATATATCTACGTGTATACTATATTACAAGGAATATAAAAAAGTATAATGCTTTCGTTTTTAGTCCAGACACAAATATAAAATTCTATAAAAAGACGGAGCACCTTCATCAAAGCGACACGTGGAACGCCGAAAGTTCAGAGTGATTTCTTTTTTTTTCTAAGAAACATTGCCAGGTTATGGTTTAAAATAAAAGAGCATATCTTTGTCTTTGATACTATTATCTATTGCATAGTGTCTTTGGTTTTGTTTTAATTAAAAAAATTATTTTTCAAAGAGTAGTACTTGTGGTACACATGTGTATCTTGATCGAGCGAGCGGAAAGATGTTTATGTCTGATACACATGTGTAGCTTGTTCCACTTTACAGGGTAGAGGGTAATTTTCAATTTTTGTAGAATATTGAAAATCTCTTTTGGCGCGTAACCACAGCGGTGCAACGCGATAACTGCTACTCTATCTACTTTCTTCGACCATTCCTTATTTGAAAATGAATAAAAATTAATGTCTTATTTATTTTCGGCAAGCGCAAAAGTTATATTTTTAAAATTGGTAAAGTTTATCTAGCCAGTATTCAAAAATTTTAAATAATAAGGTTTGGCAGAACTTATGACCCGACTAAGTAATCATCAAAAAGTGTATCATTAATTTTATAAAAAAAAAATTGATAGAACTTATGACCTGTCTAAGTATACGGAACACATTTCACACACCGCAATAATATGAGCCACTTCCAGTCACGCTCGATCTTTGTAACAAACATGTTAACTTGTATTCCAGCCTGAGTATCGAACAAACAGTTTACTACCGTCAAAACATTCGATAAAAATTGTTTTGTTATTAAGCTTGTGCAATGATTCCCAAAAGTTTGTAAGTAAATTGTTTTTAAACTATTCTGATGTAAGTGAACGTATATTCTCATGAGAATAAAGATATCTCAGACCATCACAATTGTTCACCTTAATCTAAAGGTATACAAAGGGTGGACTTAATGTTTTTGGCATTCTCTCCTAGTCAACCCGGGACGTGTGAAAATACTGTGATAGGTGCCAAAATAAAAAGAACATGAAAACAAGAAAATGAGGAAAATGATTTCTGATGAAATTTTACAAACTAATTTCAATGTAAAATATCCTTGAAATCCGTTCAATAGCTTAGGGAGCTTATCGCGAACTAACGATGTGAGACGTAACAAACACCGTACTAATTATCTACTATCTGATGTCATTAATTATTATTTTCGTACCAATCTTTTACTAGGTATTTTTCTAACGTCTTCGGGTAATAAGTTCAGCCTGAATGATGAAGGATTTTGCCACAAAATTTGTTAAATGTAGTGAGATACTTTATTTATAATTAGACGAGGAACGTAGTTCTATCATGCGTTGAGGAAAGATATTGAAATTTTCCCTTGATACAGGAAGGAGTGGATGGATCATTTAAGATAGAGAAGAGAACAAGCAAAATACCAGAGTCACGCCTTTGTTCAATAGTGGGTCTTTCAAGATGAGAGCGATAGTGAGAGATTGATCAAACTTACGAACTGAATTGAACATGTATCTGATACAATTGTTGAGAAGCCGCTCTTGTTTGTTAAGATTTTGGTTTAAATGTGAGTAACTGTTTAAGGCTGAAGAAGAAAACCTTCCCGTGGGAACGACTCAGCATTGTCCGTCATTAGTCTACGAGTAAAATAGAATGATTTACCACTCTGACTAAATGCTGGTTCCCGTTTCTCGTCATCGGTTTCAATATGTTAGATTTTATTTCGAACGGAATGAGTCAATGAATTATTCCACACCGCTCTCACATCTTCATATATAATTTTTGTACGTGTTTTAGTCTCTGGACGCCTCCTAAATGGCTCGACTCATTTTGATTAAATTTTTTGCGTATATGAATGGGTCTCTCGTTAGTTTACATTCACAGTGGGACCTGGTAGGTGGCGCTTTTGTCAAGATCCAGAAATCACCCGTACGAAGCCCGGGCGGATCGCTAACATGAGAAATTTCCTTAAAGGTGTATCCAGTCGTTGCTACATGTACGCGAATAGATCGGAAGGAGATGTGTTTTTGTTGCTTGCTTTCTTCAAGCCTGTACATTTTTTTTCGTTATGATTAATATTGAAAGTATATTACTAATCAATATCATTCTAAGTTATAATACTTCACTTTCTCCAATAATGACATAAGAACTAATAAATTTGTTCCGATTTCGTTTGCTTTAGTTTGAAATATATTCGCCTAATTTAACTTTTATATTATAATATTGATTGCCTCGTTGGTCTAGTAGTTGTAGTAGTGCGACTGTTGATCATGAGGTCCTGGGTTCAAATCCCGGGTCGGGCCAAAAAAAAAATAATTATTGAGTTTTTCCGTCAAGAAATTCTCAGTAGTTGCCCAGAGTCAGGAAGTTGGCGGTGTCTCACCCCCGTGCCTCGGAAAGCACGTAAAGCCGGTCCTGTGCCTGATCTCTCTCTGGTCGTGTCGGTTTAGCGTCCCATCGGATTATGAGAGTGACGGAATAGAGAGTGCACCTGTGCTTGCGCATACGCCTGGGCACTATAATCCTGTCCTGCGCCGATGGCTAGTCTCCGTTGAGGCAGGCCGCCGTGGCAGAAATTCGGTCTGGAGGACATTTTTTTTTTGCGCTCGAAGCAAATATGGGCAACCCTCCGGAAAGCGGGGGGAGAGGGAGGTGGGGAATGCTCATAGCATACAACGCAGCCGGCCGCGTGGTTATGTGGAGACTTTTATCCACTAAACCCCACCTTTTAGGGACTGGCTTAATAGTCTGACTAGATCTCTAAGCCGTATCGAACGCGACCCCCCCTTGGGTGAAAGGGGGGCGCTATTATTATTATTGTTATTATAATATACAAAGGCCGGAATTTATACCTGTAGGCAATCTTTGCCAGTAAAAGCATTGTAATAAAACAGAACTCTTTATTTTAGCGGTATATTAATTAAGTAAAATATATCTTTTAATTTTTTATATCATTTATAATTATTACGTCGTTTGAGTTTTGTTATTTTCTATAGGTATTTCTATTCTTATATTCTTTAGATTCACACCACTGCACCAAGCGGCGCAGCAAGGGCACACGTTGATTATCCAATTGCTGCTGAAGAACAATGCGGATCCAAATGCGTTGTCTGCGGTGAGCTTCACTTTGACAATTTTCTTTACCTGATAGTTGAAGTCAGGCTTAATATATAATTTGCGTACTCTTTGGAAACAGAATGGACAAACAGCGTGCGCAATCGCCGATAGGCTGGGCTACATCAGCGCCGTAGAAGCGCTACGTCCCGTCACTGAAAACACTCTGAGCCAAGCTGTTGGTGACAACGGTGAGTACTTGAAGTACTATTTATATCTTTGCTATGGCATTTCGAATCTGGTAATTGATGTGTTCATAGAAAAATGATGGTAAAGGTATGGGTACCAAATGAATTGTAATATCCGACATGGTTTAGGTAATAAGATTGTTTAAAAATGATGTAAAGTTAGCTTGTTTTAGAACGATCAAGAAAATGAAAATTGTATATATTTATTCTGTGGTAATATAGCGAAACAATTTTTACCAACTATTTTAGTCGTCTCTTTTCAATACTCGGAATCTAATGACTTTGACAGAACCTGTCACGGTTTACCAGTATTGTCACGTTCATTAAACAGATTATTAGAAGGAAGTAAAAGGAAGAGGAATATCTTTGCAGATTAAAGTTTACTAAGTATTTTACATGGCTGCGTGCTTAATACTGTACGTATTTCAAACCGTGTACCTTAAGGAGCTAAGTTTTGTTTTAATTTCCGTTTATAAATATACTACTACCTACCTAAATATAATATTTAACTAGCTTTTTGACGCTGTGCAAATCTCAACGGACACAACAAGTCAAACGTGTTCGTCGCCAACGCAAAACTTTGATCTAAATTCGTGTCGGCAAACTAATTTAATGATATGCGACCGCCGCGCCGCGCGTAAATCGAAAACTGGATGTCGGCCAGTTTACTACACCGTAAGCGACGATTCATATTTCGCAAAAATGCGAAATGTAGAGTGCGCAATTTTGTGATGTACTAAATTTTGAGTCGCGTTACGCATTACGTAAACTTTAATTTCATTAATAATGTTATAAAAAATTACATAATATAACCGTGATAATCGCCACAAATTGCGTAGTACCGAAGAACCTTTTATTATACGTGGTAGAGCCATGCTGCCGTTATATTTGTAGTATAGTTGTAGCACGAATTGGTCGGCTCAACCGGGGAATAACCACGCTCTCACGGAATACCAGCGTAAAACAGTAGCTTAATGCTGTTGTGTTTCGAATAATGAGTGTAGAGAACCGGATACCCTTTTTACTGGAAACGAGGCATTCTATCTTAGTCCTCACGGGTGACAACGCATCTGCATTTTGATTCGTAATCGAGGATAGATGTAGATGTCTATGGGCCACAGCAACCACTTACCATCCATGTGTGCTCGTTTGTCAACTTAACGGTATTGTTAATAGCAATAAGCGCTGACGTATCGCATGCTAGTCGGCGAAGAAAACATCGTGAGAAAATACGTATTTAACATCGAGAAATAAAATATTTCGAGGACATGCAAAGACTGCCAATACTCACTCGAGCAGTGCGGCGAACGAATTGTTTGATAACTCTGTCAAAAATAAGAGGACCACGTCAAGAACAAGTAGTGTCTCGTCGTCAACGCTTTAAGAAATAAGAGAAGATCTGTGCACAGATGTGGGATGTATTATATAGGCTGTAACTTTAAAGTAAAAGTTAACTTTTACTTTTGACGAGAAACCTGTAACTTCCATTTTTAAATAACCATTGTCGTTTGGGTTACGTATCTGCACCGACCCTTAATTGAGTGAAATACCAAAATAAGTTTATATGTGTTTCTAATGTAAAAAATAACGTACTTTTCTATAAAACCTTCAAAGACAATGCTGCTCTAAACGGCCTGAACCTTTCTTTCCTATTTTTCTTGCCAGTGATACCATTATATATTATATTATTTCCTTAGACAACAAAATGATTGTTGAAATAATAACGTCGCATTAAGTTACCGATAGTTTATTATTTCAAAAATAACTTAGCTAGCGTTTTTCAATTTCTTTACCGGTTTTCCAAACCAAAAGTTCGGTTGAATCTCATCCTTACATTGATTATATGGTGCAGACCCGTACAAAGCGTTTTGCTTAATGTTTTTTGTGACCACACCGAATTCATTACCTGCGACTGTCTTCCCTGACCAATACATTATGGGACTTTTTAAGGCATGAAACATTTTGGGAGTTAAGTGTTTATTAGGACCTAGGACCATATCACGACTTCAAGTTTAGGTTTTTATTTGATGAAAAATTCTGAGTTGGCATTTACGTCAGAAAATAATGACGGATTCTGCACGGCCTCCACCACCACACGACAATTGATTTATTTAAAAATATAAGTATGTTAACTTAAATTCTTACTGAACTTTTAACGTTCCTCTTGGTCATTATATTGAATCATTACAACAACCGCGGATGTAAAGTCTGTAAGCTAATAAAACAAATAATAACACTATGAACTTTAAACTATTCGCTGTACACTAATTTTCTGAACGTAATTGTCCGAAACGACCGGCATTAAAACTAGTCCTAAAGCGCACAGCGCAAGCTATAACTTAAGACGTATATATTTACATCACAAATAAGAATAACTCGGTCACTGTCGACACAGAATATGTTCACTGGTTCGCAAGGATAGCTTCTAGTTCTGAGAAAATTCACTTCACCACGACGGTGATCTTTATTATTCTCTGAAAGGGTGCTAAACCATTTTAACATTAAACAGTAAAACAATACGGTTTAAAATGGGTTCATCAATTTTGTGATTATCAATCACTCCTGATTCACCGTTTCTATGACATAATACCCAAGGACAATAACTTTACATTTATACAGCCAATGCAATTGTGCGCGCATTGTAAGCAAATCACTCAAGAACCGTCTGCGATGTGCTTGACAAACTTCAATACACGAGTCATACATAATTTAACTCATATCGCATACAACAAGACGTTCGATGAGTAATAAATGAACATACAAATTGTGGTTTTAAATTCTTAATTTTGGATAGGGTGACCATATTAAATTTACAAAAATCAAGTTTTTGACTGTTCTTAACCAGGGGTTAATGAAAATTGTTATTTCTTATAATTTATAAGCTATAAAAAGTGTAAAATTTTCAAAATAAATGAATTAACTTTATTTTCCCTAATATTATGCAATGTATCCCTTCATAAATGGGCGGCAGAGAAGAAAAACAGCGTGAGGAAACGTCTAAGGGAAAAGAAATTTTAATTTATCAAAATTCCTTTTCCCTTACCCCTTCCCTTCCCATTACCTCTTATACAAATAAAATCCTGCCAACACGTATTGGGGTAGTGCTGCAGATTCCTTCTTGCTTAAAAATCTATAAAAAATTAGAGAAAAACCTCCTCCCATGTGGCCAGTAGGATCTCCCTACTATGCAGGTTCTGATATATCAGTGAAATACCAGTCAGAGCCAACATTATATGTCTAAGATACAATTTTTTGGTTTTCGGAACATGTTTGTAACGCTGCGTCTTCATCTGTCTCTGATCTTATCCTATTTAAGCGATATACAACGATATAGTTTACGCGCAAACATAGCGCGTAAACTTATAGAGTTATAAAATCTCCTGCGCGTTCGATATTTCTTAAATATGACGAAGTAGGTCGTGGCCAAAAATCTGCCAGAAGCATATCAATTATGTTGAAAACCGTGCAATGCCCACATTATAATAAATAGTATGCTATTTTTTTTATTCTGAAAGAATTTTAAGGCATATCGAACGCAGTCGCATCACATTTATTAATTAGTATGAAGCTAGCAAGCTTTTCGGATCCGATCATTATTATCTAATCTATATGCACAATTTGTGTCATAAGTCATTGGGCTATGCTTGTGTACAAGTGTTCTGTGCTCAATATTTTTTATTCTTCATAAGCATTTTTTTTTTCATTTTTATAAATATACATTTAGTTAAAACTTACACATATTTATTTTAGCAGTACTGTGTATTATGTTGATTACTGCAATTTAACTGGTAAGTTTGCATATTATTTGTAAAACAACAGTACGCCTACATACGCCCATATTGCTTACATATATACTTATTGCATTACAAATATTTGTCGGACAGTTTTCTGTCTTTATACGTCCTTAAGTACTTGAATTAAACGACGCATAATGCACTTATAAATAATAATAATAATATATAATATAAACACTCACGCCTGTCACCCAGAGGGGTAGGCAGAGACTACAGACTTCCATTTGGCACGATCCTGACACACCTCTCTCGCCTCCTTCACATCCATACACCTACGCATACATGCTCGTCGGTTAAGGGTACTCCTAATTTGGCCCTTTTTCAACAAATCGCCAATTTGGTCGATAAATTTTCGCCTAGGACGTCCCTTTCCGACTCTGCCATTCACTTCTGCAACATAAATTTTCTTTGTCACTTCCTCATTCATTCTTTCCACATGACCAAACCATAATGCACTTATATACCTCTTAAATTCCAATAAAAGATGTAAATAATAAACAATACCTATCAGTATATTTTTGTTATTAAAACTATTGTAAGAATGAAAGTTAAACAAGTATAATTCATACATTTATGCTCTTTTTTATGTTTGCTGGGAACAAACTTATTGATTTTAAAATCATGGATATTTTTTACAGTCATTGTTATTTTATATTTTTGCAGATTCAATTTTTAATCAGTACTTCGTATAATTAGCAAACCCACTACTTATTATTTATTAATATTTAAACTTAAAAAGAAAAACGAACAAAGTAGTTTATTTTTTATTTTAAAGTATTAAATAATTTTCGTACTAAATCTACTATGAATAATGTTAATGACTGTACTAGAAATGTTTAATAATAAATCCTATGCATTTTATGTATGTTTTATTGCAAATAAAAATATTAAAACCAAGGAAATAAAGGAAAACGAAGTAAAACTACTAATTTCAGGACTTATCTCACTACTGAGAGATAAAAATGTGGTAGGAAGAATCAGTCACGCTGTTCGGCTGTTCTGACGCTCCCGATGTTCGTTGTTTCTTGAATATATCAAAGAAACTAACGTCTCCCTATTGCACGCTTTATATGAGCTTGAACTCTATATATCTATGTATGTGTGTATGAATACAATGGAATTTTGTAATTTAGATTTATCATCCACTTCCAGACGCCAGAATAATCTGAGCTTTTGCAAACGTAATAAAAAGGGTGCGTTTGGCAGAAAAAAGCGCTAGCAAGCGCTTACAAACGCTAAAATAGTTTTCCGCCATGACACGATTGCTTCTTCATTAGCGCTGACAT